GGGCCCCTCATGCGTTGCCGGCAGAAAAGCACAGGATGCAGCCAGCGTTTGGCAGCTCTTCAACAAGGCAACTGTAGCACTAACGTAAGAAGAAGGAAGAGTGGCTGGATGGCCTTCCATTCTACTGCCGCACTCAGCTGCAGAATACTCAAACAGTTCTTGGATTATTTAAAAATATTTTAACCCAATTTTTTCCCAGTAGTGGAGCCCGAACCTCGTGCTGGCTAGGCAGGCACTCTACCACCGTGCCTTTAACCACATACCGGTATGACTGGTGGCCCACACATGATTTAAATTATCCTGGAGTCATCGGGCCCAGATTTTAAGCTTTGAGCCTCTTCTTCTAGCTGCGTAATGTTGGGCAAGTGATTTCCTGTCAAAGACTCAGTTTATTTTGCCAATACATGGGAGACTAGCCAGTGGGTAAAAGATGTGAGCAGGTACTTCACCATTATACATATACAAACAGCCCAAAGGCATTTGAGTCAACATCATCTCTCATCAGGAAATGAAAATTAAAACCAAATGTGGCATTAATTCTTACCTTCCAGAATCACTGAAGTGAAAAAGGCAATCCAGAGTGTTGGGAGGTGGCTGAGGCTCTAGCTCAGTGGTAGAGTGCTTGACTAACATGCTTGAGGTTCTAGGTTCAGTCCCCAGCACTGCCAAAAGCAAGGTTTTGGGAGATGATGACCATATTGAGCTCTCATTCACTGCAAGTGGGAATGAAACTTGCTACAACCCCACTGGAAAACAGGCGATTTCTACTAGAGCTAGACCATGTATGGATACAGGGGCCACTCCTGGACATGAACATGAAGAGACATGTATCAAAGGACATGTCCAGGACTGGAGAGTCATAACAGTCTCAGACTAGAAAGTCTGCAATTTCCAGTAATGATAGAACAGATAAGTAAGTTGTGGCATTCGAACTATGGAAAAACACCTACAGTAAAGAAGTAAAGAATGTACAACTCTACAAAACAACATGGAGAAAGAAAACTCACGCTGAGCGGAAGAGCCAGACGTACAAAAACACAGAGCACCGACTAGGCAATTCTGATTTTACTGTTAGAAGGAAGAAAACAGACCCACAAATGAGCCCCGGCAACACATATCCTGGTATGGTGATGCACGCCTGTAATCCCAGCACTCAGCAGGCGGGTGCAGGAGGATCTAAAGTTCAAAGTCATGCTTGGATATGTAGTAAGTTCAAGCCAGTTTGGATGGCTTAAGAGCCTGTCTCAAAACAAAAAACAGACAAAAATAAAATAAAATAAAAAACAGGTTACTCACGGAATAAATAACTAAATTGAAGAAAGTTCTCCTGCTGATTCACATCTGTGTTCACTATTCTGAATATTCTTTATACTGAAAACAGTCTTTTTAAACAAATGGTGAGGGTAGGTTTATTGGTGCTAATGACTGAGCCTAGGACCTCATGCATACGAGGCAACCTCTCTAATCACCGCGTCTTATCCCCACCCCTAGGTACAACAGCTTTACCGTCTTTTCCAGCTTTGGCTACAATAACAAGCACCATCATTCTACCAGGCACAAAGGTAGTGATTTCCATACAACCTTTTCATATCCTTCCCATTGCCTTCTGTGGTAGACGTTATGCTGAGAAAACAGAGGTGCAAAGATATCAGTACTCTCTGAGGTCATATAGCCAGTCAGGACAGGGTGAGGGGAGCAGTTTCAATCCTGCCTGTCTGTGGTCAGGGGCCTTCATCTGAGCTATGCACTCCTGCTTCATCTGAGGTCCTGGTGAACCATAGCATGGGTACCAGGAAAGGCTGGGTGTGGCCCACCAAGTGTCTCTGCAGCTCTCTCCCTTTGACACCCTCAAGTTTTCTCCAGCTTTGAGGTGCTTTATTTTTCTCTCTTTGAATCTGTGTAATAGACCATATGAAAACATTGCCCTTTTAAATGTATTTGGCATTTACTGAAGAATTTCTTATATTATTTACCAATAATAGTAAAGGCTAGTCAGTTCTGAGAGGTGGTTTTTCTAATCTTGTTGTTTGGGCGGGTTTTTCGGAGGCTGGGGTGGGCAAGTCTAACTCTGTAGTCCAAGATGGCCTGAAACTCACTATATGGCCAAGCCTGAACTTGAGCTCATGGAAATCCTCCTGCCTCAGCTTCCCAAGTGTTGGGATTATATGTATGTCACCATACCTGGCTAAAGTTGTTTCTGAAAAATTCAAACACACAGATGGAGAATCACCATAAGTTCAAGGCTAGCCTGGTTTGCATAGTGAGTTCCAGGCCAGGCCAGACAGAGCTACATAGTAAGATTTTGTCTCAGCTCTTTCCCACAAAAGACCACATTAAACTGTGCCTTGTAAGTAAGTGGATTAAGAGTCTTTCAACATGAAATCTGTTCCCCATTCATTCCCTTTAGAACGGCTCCCTGCCTTCAAAAAAATCATCACTTTTATCACCAGAAATCTATGGCCAATAGATAGTTCAAGTCTGAAAAGGTGTCTACCAGGCTCTTGGGGTGGGGGAGGTATTAGGAATCTGTAAAGTAAGGCTAATATATTAATGTCCTAGAAATCTGATATATAGGTGTTGATTTAATTAGTAGCCAGTGATTAAAATTCTGCAAAGATGGTTTACTTTTACTAGAATGGCCCTGAATGTGTATCTGTATAAACTGCCTACAAATGTACCTGCTCTACGTACATGGGACTGTAACATTAGGACGAAATGCTGTGAGAGCTAGTGGAGGGAGAGGGGATCATATATACTTCCTCTGATGATTATAAAATTGTTGAAAAGTTTTGCCAATAGAGAGCAAGGAAAAATTAATCTCAAAGTCATTACAAAAAGAGTTTATTAAGTCAACACACCAATAGAATGAATCTAAGGGTTTGGCTGGAACACTAACAGACCTTTTAAAATAGAAGCCCAAGGCATCCACTTCAGGCATCACTCTGACAACTTGTGGAAAGACGAAGGGTCAGTAATGGCAGCGTGGTGCTAAGTCCACACAGGTAGGCCTCTGTCTCCCTCCCTGTTTCCCTCTCTTCAACTGAGGTGATTCTGGTACCTGAGAATCACTTAGAGAACTGCAATGAAATATTTCCTATTTAGTACAGAAATTCAACCTCTTTGTTACAGATCTTGTCTTTGAGCACTTGAAATACACACACATGGAACGTTGCTGTTGAGAACCCAACAAGTAGTCACTAGAAGTGTTTACCAACCTGTAAGATGGATAAAATTATGCTCTGTTACAGGAACTGCATTTTCGAATCTCATCTGGCACCAACTGTCTTTCAGGAAGTAAGAGTGCAGAGTTTGGGGACACTCTTCTTCAGAATAGAAGGAAAAGGATCTAATTATCAAGTAATGCACAATTAAATAATACATACACCTAAATCTCAGTGTCGCAGGAATATGAAATTTTCATTTACATTGGGAGAAAGGAGGGATATTTTCTATCATTTCTTATAATAATAAAACTAGTTATTTCAAGATTATAATGCTGATAATTCCAGCGTGTGTTTTCACTTTGAAACCACTGATGATTACATTTAATTAGTAATGGTACAGGCTCCCAAGAAACAGTAAGAATATAGCATCCATGTCAATGTTGATTGGCCTCAAGTAATCAAAATTGAGATACAACACAAAATGCCATAGAGTTGGGGTCAACTCTGGGTCTCCAAGCTGTGGTTACAAGACCATATTACACAGCAAAGTAGTGAGCATATTTCAAACCAAGCTGGCAAGGGGACTCTACAAAGTAACTATTTTGTTTAAGAGACAGTAAAAACAGCGGTTGGAATGCATGTGTTGTTGAACCTGTTACCAAAAAGATTTTGATCTTCAGGATACCGTCACACTAAATAAATATTTCTTTCCCTGCCCCTACAACTTTCATTTTTGTCACCATGGTGGGGGGGGGCAGGGAGGCTGTTTGGAACAATAATTGTTTTCAAGTCAGAATCTCAGATAACCTAAATACAGTAAGTTTGTGTTATCAAAACGATAGTCCAATGCCTGACTGTGGTGCATACTGGTGGACCTTGCCCTGTCCCAACCTGTCACTGTCTGGGAATACAGAAAACTGTGGGACAGACAGATGGCCTGTAACTAAGTTTTCATCAAACACTGTGCATCAAAATAGCCTCACACATCAACTTCATGATACCCATCAGGCCTGGCTCCCTTCCTTGTTTTTAAGCATTTTAGGGCACTGTTGTGGTTTGTCAAGATGTCCTCAAAAACCTACAGGACAGCAGAGCTGAGTCTTCTGTAGGTCAATTTAGTCACAAGGCTGAGCATAAATGGAATCTGCTCGTAAAAATATGATGCTCTCTGAAGATCAACCTGCCCAGTCTGTTAGATTTAGTAACCTGCTCTAGTCTGAATCTCAAGTGAAGACCTAGAGATGTTGAGTTATGCATCTTATAAAAAACAGTCCACTGGATTGGTGCAGGGGCTTTGGGCCCAGCTTGCTCCAGCTTTTTTCAGGACTTAGGAAGAGCTGTTATGTTAAGTCAAGTCAAGTAACAAGAGGGAAGCATTCCACACCGGGAAGCACAGCTCTTCCCTTTTGTCTGAGCTGGAACATTCTGGGTCTTATGTGCTAGCAGCTGGCACAGGGCATCTTGGCTCCCTCTGGTTTCCATCCAGGGAAGCTTTATTAGCCACTAGGTACTGAGCACCCACCCTGACCCTTAAAAGAGAAAGCCCTTGAACGGAATGAAACCTGAAATTGAAAAGCAAGATCCAAAAAACTGGAAGACTTTGGGTCAGTCTGGTCCTGGACATTCCCATGGACCCCTTTATGTCCTGCACGGTGGAAAGAGGCCAGCCTGGAGTCAGTCAGCTAGCTTGTGGCTTATCCTGGCCAGCTGATGGGAGGGAAGGGGCGCGCAGACTCCAGTGCACCAGGAGGGGGCGGTCAGTGCCCCTCTGTGAAACAAGGGGCTACACTACCGTGTTGGTCACTCGCGAATCCCCACGGAGCTGGGGCCTGGGGTTCATAGATGCGGGGCGTAGAAAGGGGCCAAGTAGGAGGGCCCCAGGAAGGGCGCGAAGGGGCTCCCGGTGGCAGTGGCCGTCAGTGGAAAAGAGGCGGTGGGGAAGAGGACGTTGGTCGAGGAGTAGGAGGGGAAAGTCTGGAAGTGCAGAGCGCCGGGGCCGGGTGGGCCGGGGCTGCCCCCAGTGCCACTGCCGCAGGCCCCGGCCATCGCGCCGGGCGTCCCTGGCTGCGGTGCGCCACCGCCCGCCTGCACCGCGCCCTCGGCCCCCGGGTTCTGCTTCTTCCACTTGGTCCTGCGGTTCTGAAACCAGATTTTGACCTGCGTCTCGGTGAGGCTGAGCGACAGCGCCAGGTTCAGGCGCTCACACACAGACAGGTAGCGCGTGGCTCGGAACTTGTTCTCCAGGGCCACCAGCTGCTCGTAGGTGAAGGCGGTGCGCGCGCGCCGGGGCTTGGCGCAGCTGGGCTCCGTGCGCCGCCGCCGGACCCGCGGAGAACCGGGCGATCCCGGGGATGCCGGGGTGCCATCCGCGCTGCTCTCCCCAGCCCCTGACGCGGCAGCGCGGGTATCCCGGGAAGGCGCGGGGCCAGCCTGCCAGCGCTCCGCCCGCTCCCTCCGCCGCGTGCCCCTCTCATCCTCCGCATCTTCCTCCTCTTCCTCCTCGGAGCCCTCCAGGGGGGACGCGGGGCCACTGCCGCGGTCCGCAGCATCTAAGAGAGAAGGGAGGGAGGGTGACAGAATCCCGTAACAACTCCACGGGTCCGGGTTCCTAAACCTTCTCCCCGTCTTCCCTAGAGCACTCAGCTCTCCCCTCCATCCAACCCCCAGTTGCGTCCCTAACCCTACTTTGCCCCTTTTCAACTCCAGGCCCATATCTGCGTGAGGGGTACAGTGTCCTATTGCCCTTTATAAATCTGCCATCAAGTAGGGACCCAAGAAGAACTTGGTGATGAATGGCACCCCATATCAAGAAAGAATAGTGACTTTATTGAGCGACAGGGGGTGGGGGTGGGGCGTGGAGTTTCTCAGTGCGTTTGGTACTGCATCTCCCCAATCCCTACAAGCTTACTTTGGTGTGAGACTCCTAGCAATTAAAAAAGAAGTTATTAAGCCTCCCCCGCCTTAAAGTGAAATGCCTCCTTTCCCATCTTCTCTTCGGCCGTGTTAATGGAGTTTCAGATTTGTGCGGGGCCTGATCGATAGATGTCATCTATTAAAGGTAAGTTTTAATCGAACAATATTAGGATCAGACAGGGAAAGGGGGTTTGAAGTCGGTACCTGCAAGCTGCGGGCAGGAGATATGCAGGCGCCAGTAATAGAATATCGATCAAGGAGTTAGGGGGAGGGGAGCGCGGCCCCACCGAGAGACATCCAAACAATTAGCAGGTCCACGGCCAGGACCCAAGCTGGCCGCCAGAGACTCCCAGGGCCCCAGACAATCACTGCCAAACTTAGGGAGGGGGTCCTGCGGCATCCAGCGTCCCTGGGGACCTGAGCCCTCAGACCTTCGGTGCCCCTCCGAGGAACCCCAAGCCCACGTCCCACTTGGCATGAACCCTGCTGTCTTAAGTTCTTCCAACCATAAACTTTCTTGAACCCTTCTGGTGTCCACCAACTTCAGGCATAAGGTGGAAAGGGTTTAGAAGAGAAAGCACCAAAAGCCTCCTGTCTCCTCTGTTGGGTCTGGGGAAGGTTGAGGACGTGCACTCTGCAGGTGTTTCCGAGTGGCGGGAAATAAGCACCTGACCGGGAGAAAGTCTTGGCCTCAGTTGCCCCATCCATAAAACGGGAGTGGTGTTAATCTACTATACCATCTACTTCGAAGGCGTTTTCATAACCTTTAACCCAGCTCTGAGCCCAGGTTCTAGCATGTGGAGAAGCGTATCAAATTCCTGGATGCCAGTTTGCATGCGAGCCAGTCAGAGCTGTAGCACTCATCCACTGGGCAGGTGTGCAGGGATGAGGCAGACCCCTGCCCTGGATGAGCCAGACCCCTGCCCTGGACAGGGCCTCCTTCCCGCCTCTATTCTACTTCGAGGATGGGGCCTTCGCTGCGCACCTGTGCCAGTGCGCCTTCTCTAGTTCCGGAGCCGCCGAGGGCCTTTCACCAGCACTTGGCTGTTACCCCACGCACACACACTGGACATCTCCTTAGGCTGAAGCTTCCTCCCATTCTTACCAGGGGTTTCCGGCACTGCGATCGGGTCCCCGGGGCTGGTGTCCTTCCCTGCTTCCACCGCCACTAAACTTTTCTTGGCTTCCGGGGGAGCGAGACAAACGGCGGGGAGCGCAGCGCGTGTGAATTTCTGCGGATCCAGAATGTCCAGGACCGAGAAGGAGATCTTGTGGTGAGAGGGGGCCGCCTTGGCCCCGCCGTCCTGCCATGCCAGCATGCCCGCCTCCGGCAGGCCGGAGGCCAGCGGCGCAGGGTCCGGGATGGCGCGCTCCCGCTTGCCTTCGGCGGTGGCTCGGCCGCAGCTCTCCAGCTGCGAACTGGGTTTGCGCAGCCTAGTGAAGCTGGGGGGGGGGGGCAAGGAGGCGGGGCGGGAAGAGAACCGCGGGGAGCTTCACGCCGATTGGCACTTGGGCTTCCCGGACCCCCACCACGCGCGGGGCGCGCTCTCAGCAGTCTCCCACCATCCAGAACCGCGTGGGGGCCGCTGGCCTGGACCAGAGGGATCTCCGCGCTCCGCTGCGCGCTCCCGGCTCGGCTCGCAGGGTCGTGGCTGCACGCTCTGAGAGCTTCCTCCCCAACCTGCTGAGACTCGTGAAGTGCGTGAGGGAGGCTTCTCTCTAGGGTATCCCCACTATACGTGCATCTATCTGACGCAGTATGCTCCCTTTATCCCCGGGCACCTGCCTCCCGCCTTTGACCTGCGGATACCATCCAGACAAGGACTGGCGACTCGGCGCATCCCAAGCCCCATCTGTGAACTAACCACAGTAACGGCTTCAGGCCCCCTCACCTCGAATTTTTTAAAGGCCTTATGTGTTTACAGTTTACAAAGCCCTTGGGCTTTCTCGCTTTCTTTTGATTTCCTAAGCATCACTGTGAGGTGGGCGTGGCCTGGGACCATGATCCGGTTTCGAAGAAGAGGAAAATGAGGTTCAAACATGAGCAGTGGTCTCCCCAGGGCCACTGTAGGTGACAGAGTCTGGGTTAGACCAGGACTTTTTCAGCACATCCTGCTTTTTTGGAAAAGGCGGGGGGGGGGGGATCTTGCCCTAGATAGGCGACTTTTCTTTCCACTCAAAAGGCCAGCAAGGCTAGAAGGTAAATGTGGGTTTAGGAGAGATGACCATGTCCCCCGCCAAGCGGTATCCACCCTCGGGGCCAGGTGGGTTGACTGAGAGTAGCTGTCTTTGGTGTCACCCAGAGGTGGTATCTCTGGGTTTCTGACCCTAGCCTCTCCCAGCCCCAAGAAGGAAAACGCTAAAAAGACGCCTGCTTCTTTGAATTTAAGATCAGAGAAGGGAGACGATTAAAACAGCCCCATCTGCCTCCTCCCCGGGTCTCTAGGGAGGCTAGCCGGCATCAGCACTGGCGGGAAAGCTTGCCCTAGCCACACCCGTGCTAACTTTCTCTCTTTTGTCACCGCTGTAAGCCCTAAGAATTTACTTTAGCGGCAAATTCTGAGGCATCCCTTAGCACTACCCAGAGCCACCTCCGACTCTGCTGCTCCTTTCTTCCCTGCCCCATGCGGTTCCAGACAATGGCTTAGCAATTAATTTTGTCTGAGCAGGTAAGAAGGAGAGGACCCCTTCTCACTAAAGCGCTGGGGGCTGCTAATCCTATCTGTTATAAAGAGGTGTCATTAGGGGCCAGCTCCTTGTAGCTTTTCTCATTCAAACCTTTCAGCCCCTCCCAGGGGTGGCCACTCAATTCCCTGCCGACTTTAAAGCCTTGCCAAAATTCAAGCCAGCTTCAGTCCTAAAGCGGAGATGGATGGCTCTTTTCAAGCCAAGGAAAGGAAGTGCCCAGCCCAAACCCACGGGACCACCTCCTGCCAAAGGGAATTTGTGCCATGTGAAACGCAGGAAAGACTACCCAGAAACCGAGAGGCCTGGCCCAGGGACAACACCTGCAAATCACAGAACCTTCTAGAATGCAGATAATTTGTTTTCTGTTTGGATAACTCTTTCTCACCTAGTTCCCACATGATTTGTTTTCCTTAAAAAAAAAAAAAAAAAGCCTCCCTTTTTCTTTCTCCCCCTCCATTGATCCCAGCACCTTCCACCTTTTTCAGTATATACTTAGGTTCCTCAGGGTAGCTGGGAAAAGATCTCCATAAATTCTCGATAGAATGAATAAAGGGTTTGTTTTACCCCCATAGTTCCCCCTTCTTACCCCTTTCTCTAGAAGAGACATTGAGATCATATCGCAGGATAGGGGGGTGGTATTCCAGATGGCACCCACATCCCAAACCAGAAGGACAGGGAAGGCACCCCCCTGCCAGCCATGAACAGCCAGACCTGGGATCATTTAATTGCATTACCATTGCTTTTGTTGTTGTTTAAATTATATGAACAGTCTTTCCTTTAATATGAATCATCTTTCCTTTGAAGTCTCTGTGTTAAATACAGAAAAGGAGGGGCTGGAGAGATGGCTTAGCAGTTAAGAGCACTGACTGCTCTTGCAGAGGACCCGGGTTCGATTCCCAACATCCACATGGCGGCTACGAACCATCCTTAACTCCAGTTCCAGGGGAATCCGAAGCCCTCTTCTGACTTCCGCAGCATTGCACGAGACGGGTGCACTCGCATACATTCAGGCAATAAACTCATGCACATAAAATAGAAATAATAAATAAAAAATTTTTTAAATACAGAAAAGGAACCAAAAAGGGGAGAAGCAACAAACTGGAGAGAAAAGTGAAGAGCAGAGCAGCCGTGGTCTAACCTGTGAACCCGAGTGCCCTCTTGCAATGGTTTTTAAATTCTCCTTGCATTTCATTTTCCCAACACCCTTCCTGTGTGTGGTCAGTGCAGTGTGACACTGAGAATTCCTGCCTGGTGCTTGACTTCAGATAGTAAGTGACACCTAAGACATTGCTGTGTCTCCTACAGATGTTAGAAGAATGAAGCATCATCTCATTCACCCAGCTTAAAGACAAACAACCAAAGGCCAGTACATCCTGCACTTTAGGGGAGACTGGAGGCAGGAAGTTTAAGGGAATTCTCCAGGACCTGGACTGTATGTGAAACCTACCTTTGGGCACAACTTGGAGATGTTTCATTCACTAGCATCCTGATAAACGTTTATAGCCAGAGTATTCCTATAATAATAACTGTGTCTACCTCTACTGAGCTATCTTCCCTCTGTGCACAGAGTTGATTTTTTTTTCCAGCATGACATTAAAATTCTGCCTGAGTGCTGTCTTTAAATTGCTTTGATGCTAGGTGGGTTCCAACCCTGACCTGTCCTGATGGCAACTGATGGCTGTAACAAGCTCAGGATCAATATTCATAGCGGGTGTCCTGGGCTGATAACACTATCCAAGACAATGTTCGCTATCAGTGCGGACAGCTGAGATATTGCGCCATTAGGGATGTTGTGTTAAATAACCTGATCCATTTCTGGGGCTATTTAATGAATTTCACAGCTTAGATAGTATCTGTAAGGCGACGGCAAAGGCTATTCCGGAGGCACTGATGCAAATCAATGGTGCCAGGCTTCTCCTGTTATTGTACAAACAAAGTGGCCTGTAATTCCAGCACAGCCTTGAGGAACTGCTGCCCACCCTGGAAACAGGGTTAACAATGGAGAGAATATGCAGAGGGGGTGGATGATAATATGAGCTGCTTTAAGGGTCCTGAGATAAAATCATATGTTCCTGAAATAAATACAACTGGAATTCTCTAGGTTGAATTCCTCAGTTTAAACCAGTCCAAAGGTTTGGACATATATGCCAAAGAGACAGCTTCATCAGGCACAGCTGAGGCCCAAAGGGAGATGTTGACAGTGGGGACCCATGTGAGCATCCTATATACGCAGGACCTCTGTCAGTTTTCCCCAAGATGTGTTTCTTCAACTCAAACTAGTCTATAAAATGGAAAGGAAAAGACACTGGATTTTAAAAGGAAGGTACTGGTGACAGAATCAATGGTTTGTTTACATGACCCCAGACCCTCATTGCTAGAGCATTCATTTACAATTAGAGATTAGCATTTGCCATTCCTCACTGGAGCCTTGAACTTGGACCGCCAAGCAATGCAAACAGATGCTTTAAAAACACACCAGAGCCAGGTGTATTCCCAGCACCTGGGAGGCCAAGGCAGGAGGATTGCTACAAGTTTGAGGCCAGCCTGGTCTACATTAGTTCCAAGTCAGCCAAGGCCAATAAGAAAACTCTGTCTCAGGGCTAGGAAAATGGCTCAGTGGTTAAGAGCCCATACTGTTATTACAGAGGACCTCAGTTTGGCTCTCAGCACCCGTGTCAGGCAGCTCTCTGTTGCTTTGGCCTCCAAGGGCACCTGCACTCATATATACATATCTGCACACAGATATATACATACAAATAATTTAAAATAACAAAAATTTAAATTTAAAAAGAAAACCCTGTCACATAAAACCAAAAGTAAATACATAAAACCTTGGAGGCTGATTTGTGAAAGTTGAGTTCAAAGTGTAGCCTTACTGGGCTGGGGACATAGCTCAGTTGGTAGAGTGTTTGCCTAGCATGCATGAAATTCTAGTTCAATCCCTAGTACCACATTAAAAATAATAATAATAATAAAAAAGAAAATAAATACTAGCCGGTTATGGTGGCGCACACCTTTAATCCCAGCACTTGGGAGGCAGAGGCAGGCGGATCTTTGTGAGTTCGAGGCCAGCCTGGTCTACGTAGTGAGTTCCAGGCCAGCTGGGGCTACAGGGAGACCCTGTCTCAAAAAGACAAGAAAAAAAAAATACTGGTCATGGTGATGAACACCTATAATCCCACCGTGTGGGACGTGAAGGCAGAAGGATCAGGATCATCCTTGGCTACATAAAGAGTTCAAGGCCAGCCTGGGCTGCATGAGACTTTGCCTCAAAAAATGAATTCAAAAAATGAACAAATAAATTAAAAAAAAAAAAAAGGCAGCCTTCCTTTCTCCAAACAATAAAAATGTTTACATATTTCACTCTGAAAAATAAGAGCGTCTTTTTGAAAATCTACGGGTTGAAAAATCAACTTGCTTTTGAAATAGGGTTAGTCTTTCTCAGGCTAGTTCAGGCTGTGTAGAACTCTCGGTCCTCGTGCCCCCCCCCGGGGGGGGGGAGGCGGGGGCTGGAGACCGATGACTCAGCAGTTAAGAGCACTGGCTGCTCTTGCAGAGGACCTGGGTTGATTCCTAGCACCCACATGACAGCTAACAACTGTTCCTAACTCCAGTTCCAGGGAGTCCAACA